ACAACATTTAACACGGTTATTGAGGTGGGAAATCATGGTACATCATGGCCTAACAACATTTAACACGGTAATTGAGGTGGGACAACATGTTAAATCATGGCCTAACAACATTTAACACGGTAAATGAGGTTGGAAATCATGGAACATCATGCCGTAACAACATTTAACACGGTTATTGAGGTGGAACAACATGGTAAATCATGGTATAACACGATTTAACACGGTTATTGAGGTGGGACAACATGGTACATCATGGTCTAACAAAATTTAAAACGGCTATTGAGGTCGGACAACATGGTCCATGACTTAAAATTGATATTAATATTGAATGAACAAAACTTAATAAAGTCAAAATCTATAGAGATAGTAATTTCAGAGATAGGAATTATAATAACATGCAAATTAACTGTTTTTAGTGTATTTCATGATTTGGCGACGAACAGAGGCCATACGTTTTAATTTGGAAACATTTCTTTTAGTCATTCAAAATATGACGAGTTGAAAACATGTCTGAATACCGACCCATTTTTCGACCTTCAAATAATTTCGGCTCACTGTAAAACCACTTCCATCGGATTCCTGGTTGAAAATTAGGTCGAAATGTCTTATTCTTACATTATTTTGTATTGCGTGTCAATGAAATAGACCTACAAATCCGAGTAGATAGCGATCCTTCGCAAAATCAAATTTTTGTCATAAAGGAGCCCAATAAAAATTCCGAAAAATTCACACACTGAATTTTCAAAAAACTCATTTTTAATGTATTTTTGCACGCTGATTCCAAAAATGTCCTTATTTTTGCGTTTTGGAGTCATTTTATGTGTCAAAAATTCAATTTTGTTCCAAAGTATGGTCATTTTTAACAAAAAAAATCACTTTTGACACCCCAAATAACATCAAATGACATTAAATCGCAAAAATAACGCCTGTTTCGTTTTTCTTTTTCGGACCAATAAATACCAAAAGAAAGCGTTTGCAGTCAATTTAAATCCATTTTTTTGTCGATTCGAGTCAATATTTTCTAAAAAATCATCATTTGGGAATTCAGCTCGCGGTAAACAGGAGCGCATTTTCCAGGATAGTCCCAGAACAAAAAGTGCTTGTTTTGACAAGACAAATCGATACCAAGATGTCGCATTTTGAATTTTCAACATTTCATGAATCGATCCGGCCTATGTACATTGTACAATGTACATTGCGTATGTACTTTTGAAAAACGAAGAATATTTCAATTTCGGCGATTACATCACTATTCGGAGATTACAAATACATGTGTCTACCCCCTAGAAGAAAATGCAATGAATCAATGTTTGTTGCTACTTATTCACCGTGAAAACGTGTGAATCTCATTTTCTTACCAAAATACATGATCTCAGTAACTTTGAAGAAATTTCAATTAAAAATTGGAGTACTCCCCATACAAAAAATTTGATTTTTGGCTCAAAAATGAAATGTTTGTAAGGGAGGTACCCCAAATTTGCATTGAAATTCCGTGAATCTTTCAGAATGTTATTTTTTGTGAAAAAAATAGCTTGTGCAAAGTCTCAGCTCATTACGATATCATACAGGTATAGCTCCCATACAAAATCCACATTTTTAGTGATTTTTTCAGGTTTTTGTATGAAAAGTGTGTTAAAGCTTATTTGTATCGCAAAACTAATGCCAGATTCGGTTTTCTCGTGCCAAAAAACCCCCCAATACACATTTTTATCATATAGTTTTGTCGAGAAAAATTTGTTCGAAATGTGTGACGATCTGTGTCGACAGAAAATCTTCAAAGCGTTTGAGGCACGTGTTGCCGGTACAATAGAGTGCTGAAACTTTGCACATATGTTTGTGGGACCAAGTCTAACATATATAGAGTGTGCTGCGATCAAGATTCGAATTTGTGTATATTCGGGACCACCCTAATGGAAGCCATGCCTGTATGATATCGTAATGAGCTGAAACCTTACACAGGTTATTTCTTTCACACAAAAATAACATACCGAAGGTTTGAAGAGATTACTTACTTACTTAGAGTAATGTGCTAGCCAGCATTTGCTGGCTAGCAGTGCTAGTGCGATACACTCGACGCATGGAAGACGCGTGTCTATGTGAAAGAAGCATTCTATATGAAGCACTATGTACGCTCGTATTTCGATTTATTTTATCCGCTGTACTTCTGTTATGTTCATGATTTTTTTAAAATGAAAGCAAGCTCAGTGAAGTAAGAAATATTTTATTTCTGTACAGGGATCCGTATTTTTTATATGATAAATTTTATTCGGCATCATTTTAGAATGCAAAAGAAGTAGTACGCTTCTTGTTATTGGGAAAACATTCAAAAAGTTATTCCGAAGCTGTTAGGTCATTTTCTTTAGAAGTGCGCTATCATTCACCTGCCGCATATTACATACGGAAATTTTTTTAACAACAATTTGCCAAGAGCCTAGGGGAATTTCTCACTAACAAAATGTATCGAATTCGTGCAGTTTTGCTTAAACTAAATGAATCTGTTGTAATTCGTGCTAATCCGTGGTAAACTGTGTAAATTGGCTGCATATCTGTCAAAATTTTATTTAAACATATACATATACAATATTTATATTTTTATGGTTAAACAGTAAATGTTTTTAATATTTATTTAATGAAAATTTATTTTCTTTTCAATTTTGAGCAATTTTCTGTCGAAAACAATCGAAAATATTAAAAAGATAATGAATTAAAAAATAATATGGTTATCATAACCTCACTTTATTATGTTAACAATTAGTGTGTCCACGTGGACTCCGTCAGAAAGTGAGGTTATGTCAGAAAGTGAGGTTATGTTATCCACATCATTTTTTAATTTATTATTATTTTAATAATTTCGATTGTTTTCGAGAGAAAATTGCTCAAAATTGAAAAGAAAATTAATTTTCATTAAATAAGTAATAAAAACATTTAATTATCAAATTTTAAATTCCCCTGAAATTTCCTATGGATTTGTGTAGCTAATGATAGAACAGACGTTAGAACTGTCAATATGAACAGAAAATCTGTAAGAATTCGCCTGAATCGGCTGCAACTGCAGTAAGTTGTGTAAATTGACTGAAAACCGCAGTATTTACGGGTTTTGGAACACGAGAAATTCCCCTAGCCAAGAGCAGAAACCCTCATAGAATGGTGCTCAAGCGTTGACGGTTCACCAGGATTTAATCCACAAAATTATGATGTGTTACGAAAAAAGTGGAAGAATATCATGAACAAGAAAAGCATTTATTTGTAAGTTTAGTTTCGGATGAGATGGCAATTAACCAAAAATTGCAATGGGACAACGTTAACAAAAGATTCATCGGATTTGCAACATATACGAATTCAAAAAAAAAGAAGGCTATTGTCTCTGGAACCTATGTACCTTTAGGAAAACAGGTTCTGGTTTTTATGGCTGTTGGTGACAACTTTGAATTGCCCTTATCGTACTTCTTATTGAATGGTTTATGTTCCGAAGATCGAGCAAATCTAACATATGAAGTGATAAAAAGGATCAATGCAACAGAAGCAAAAGTTATGACTCTTGTTGGAGATGGGCATGGTGGTAATATTGGATGCGCTAGATTACTACGAGCGGATTTTGATGTTGAAAAGCCATATTTTTTTTACCCCGATGATGAAAGTAGAAAGATCTACACCATTTGGGATGCATGCCATATGTTAAAATTGGCTCGAAATTGTTTTGCTTTGAACGATCTTTATCATGATGGAAAACACATAAGCTGGGATTTTGTGTCGAAACTGTATCAATTGCAGAGCAGAAGTGTTGTCAATTTTGTCAATAAATTGAGACAAATCCACATGAAATTTAAAAATAGAATCATGAATGTTCGAATCGCGACAGAAACTATGAGCAATAGTGTTGCAAATTCACTTGAACAATTGAAAAATGACGGAGAAAAGGGGTTTGAAGGATGTGAAGCAAACCCGGTATTACGACTGATATTTTTAGTCCGAATTCTATGACAACGCCATCTCTTGTTTCCCATCTGTATAAAGTATATATGACATTAACAAGCGGTTCTATCAGTTCAATGTTGGACCGAATAATAGCTGTCATTTTCTTGTTTACATTTTGCAAATTTGAAAATTGTCGTACCTGTTTTGTGTAACATGCTCTTTTTCAAGAAGAATTAAAATGAATATTTGCATATACATCCAAAATGTACATTTCATCACAAATATTTAAAATATTTGTATATTTCTAAATAAACATTGTAGTAAATTGAAGTGAAATTTTCAGCAAAGAAACAGCTATATACATGTAAACAAAGATGGCGTTCGCAATTAAGATTCCACTGACGTTTTCATATAAATATGCCAATGCAATCCCCGGTTATGTGAAGCCACTGTTGAGTATATTCGCCTGATTAACAGTCTTTTCGATATTATGAATAGTATGCCAAATGGTCAATATGATCAACAATTTAAAAGGTCTCTATCCCCATCAACAAAAAACCAGGTTTTGCATTTTTTAACTATGCCAAATTATATTCAAAGAATATCATGATTCAACAATTGAAAAAAGACAAAACTAAAGTAATGAAGTCCGTTTTTGCTACAAAATTGCGCACCGCTTTCTTCGGCTTCTACAACAATATACTGGCATTTGAAGGTCTCTTCATGGATTATGTAGAAAATGGCGCATATGATGAGTTATATACATTTAAATTCTCCCAAGATCACTTGGAAACATATTTAGGTACAATCCGTCGTTTGAACGGTATGTTGAAAAGAACCCATATTTTAACTTCCTGCATTTTTTTAACTTTTTAGTAGTAAAATAAGTTTTTTATTTCGATTTTTAGGTTGCAATGACAATCCGACACCGATTCAGTTTTCAGGTGCTTTCAGAAAGCTACTTATCTGTAGCGAAATTATGACTTCAAAACATTCAAATGTCATAAATAACGATACACAAGTATTGACAACATCATCACGAAAGAAGGCAACTGCTACTTTTATTGACATAAGAGGAATTAAGGATGTGGAGATTGAATTTGAATACGATGAAACATTACGAGAAGAACTTTCGAAGTATGACCAGCACTACAATGCTCTTCTAGCCAGTGATATCGAACTGGACATCGTCAAATATACAAAGCGTTGCTGCAAGAAAGAATGTCAAAAGTGTATTGATGTATTTGTAGAAGATGAAGTAATTAACGACTCATTTGTCGATATGCAACAGAAACATGGCATGTATGTTTTACCATCTCAAGGCAAATTTAATATTGTTAAGGTTTGCAACAAAATTAACAAAATTATAGAACTCGTGGGCGACAAAGCTGGCCAATTAAATGCATATGCTACGATTTTAAAAACCATTTTAATAAATTTGAAAACAAACACACTATTTCCATGTTCGGAATTTGCAGATCATAAATGTCACGAACCTCACCAAATGACTCATAAGGAGGCATTTATTCGCAAGATTGTGGAATCTTATATGAAAGTTAAATCGCAGTACGTCAGTAATTTATACAACGAAGAGGCAAAAAAAGATTACCTTCGTTATAAGTTGTCAAAACGTGTTCATTTTGCCGGTCAATAAAATAAAAATATGTAATAGGAAAATATATGAATTCATATTTCGTTTCAATTTTTACATTTTTAGAAGTCAAACAAAAACAGTGTCAAATTGCACAATGTGTCAAATTAATGCGTATTTTTTTAAAGATATCTGACTCTTGAATCCCAAAGTCATTGATTGCATTTTTTTAAATTGTAACAACAATAATCAAAATAATTTGTTTAGTTTTTATTAGTTTTCCAATAAATTCAATAGTGTTTATTCTAAACACACGAAAATCTCATTAATATTCTATTACTATACAACAATAATAACATTTATTAAGTCTAGCTAAAATACACTTTCGAAAGTGGCTTAAGTACGTCGCTCCTACTTGGGTATATCAATACGTTTCAGGAGTCACACAAATGTTACATCTGCAATCCGATAGTAGGCGCTGTGTGACAAATTTTCAACTAACATTGATGCCGTAGGTACGTGACAGTGACAGTCAAATAACTATTATGAGTTAAAAATGAACACTATTTTTTTTATTAATTATTTTTTGTATAATCGTGCATTATAAAGTGGCTATAAATTTAAAGAACAAATAAAATAAAAATGATCAGATTATCGTCAGTGGAACTACAATCATTGAGCACTTTTGAATTATAATAATAATAATAATAATAATAATAATATTTATTCACCGCCAGAACTGGCTGAATCTTTTGAGTTTTTACATAATTTTTATACATTTGTTTGGTGGGAAAAAGGTATGAATCAATGATACACATTTGGTATACATCTGATCACCGTTAAAAACCACATCTTTTAATAAAGATTTCTAATAACTAATTAGCTACTTCTTACAGTAATAGCTAAATAGTTAATAGTAAACTGTTCAAATTACCGTCAAACAGCAAAAAACACGTATAAATACTAAACATTTTCAAATTGCACGCGGTTACAATGAGTCAGAAAATAATTAATAAATAAATAATTAAATAAATAATTGGATAAATAAATAATTTATATCTTTACAAAAATCACAATGTATCACATTAGATCGTTAAAGGAAACAGTGTTATAGTTAGACACCAATGACAAGTTAGAAAAATGGTCATCGCTTAAGGCTAAAAGTCGAGTTTTGAAAGTTGATCGTTTTGATTGCGTTGAAAATAGTTCGTGGACCTTATTTGAAATTTTGCACATTTGGTTGATTGGTACTGATGGATTGATTTTGAAGTTCTTGTCATTGATTTTGAAGTACTCCACACATCTTAAGTTACGTCCATTTTGATTGCGTTACAGTTGTACCGGCAAAAGCGTCAACGGCAGCACATACGAAGCGAAAGGGGAATATGTATCGTGCATCCGTTTCGTATGCGTTAGCCGCACGAGTTCAGCATTTCTCAGCTCTCAGCTATATGCTGAGCAGCAGCAAATCATGATACTCTGTTTGCCATTGATAATTTTCGTGATAATTTCTGTGACACTCATCTATATATCGAAAGAAATAGTGGCCAGATGCACAAAACGAGAACCAGTATTGCCAATGGTACACTATACACAGCATCAAGTACCACAAGTTCAATTCATGCAGCAGCCACAACAACCAGAAACACAACAACAAAGACCGATGAAGGACATCAAATAAATCAAACAAAATCAATCAAACCAAACAAGAGGAAGCAGAGATATCAACTAAAGTTAAGTCATTATATACTAAGCAATATTTTACAAAATAAACACAGGAAACTTGATAATTAGGGTTAGTGGTTTTTGTCATAACACTTTTGTCATAATACTTTTGTCATAAATAGCCATGGACACATGTCCATGGGTATATCTCACCAAAGTTGGACCATGGGCAGTGGAAATGCCCATGGACAGATAAAACACCAGATATATGACATGAACAAAACTGAATCTGCCCGTGGACAACAGTGTGTCCATGGACACCAGATATATGCCATGGACAAAACTGAATCAGGAAAAAAATTATGTTTGTCGATAATTTGTCATATTGAAATTTTTTATTTTTAATTCGATCGTCGTGAAACTTTGAGAAACTTAATTTTCTGCCAAAAAAA